CTTTCCTCGAGCCTGGGGAATATATTGGGTATGTCGACAGGAGGGCCAACGCCCTCCTGTGTGTAAATGCCACGAAAGAAGTCCACCGCTATGGCTTTCATGTCTGTCTGATCAACGGCCTGGAATCCGTTAGCATCCGTAAGGGACAAGATTCTGTTGTGGCGGCGACGGTGTTTCACTTGGCGATGGTAATAAGTCGTATTTCTGTCCCCCAAAGAGTGTCCAGTCCCTCGTGGACTTCTGTAGCATTAACAGTTCTTCCTGTAAAGATACCTCCTCAAACTCTTTGCGAAGCGATTCTTCCAGGCTAAGAAGTCGTGGTGTCGTATATTTTTGTAGCTCACGTTGGGCCCCTGCTATCCGCCTGAGTAGTCTCTTTTTCCTTTGAAAGATGTTCCCAAAAACTTAAAAATTCCACTCGGTTGCCTGGGCTTGGAATGACTGAGCCGCTTCGAAGTAGTCGTGATCGGACTAGGCCTGGTGCACAAGATTGAAGAACTCGTCATGCAATAGCCAGACCGCTAGAAATTTGAACGGTTTTCGTCTGGGTGCGGTGGCTGTATGCGCGTCACAACGTACGAAAAGTGGAAAGTGGTCGGAGTTGGTGCGTGGAAGGTGTCGAACAAAGCCCGTAGAGAATTTAGCCATCCAGGCCGAATTAGCGATGAAGCGATCTAGCCCATGTGAATAATAACCCATCCGTCCGGACTTCATGTAGCTCACAATCGAAAATCCACTCAGAGAAATCGTGGCTGATAGGGGAGCGGTGGGGGGCACCACCCTTTCGTTCGGTCGATCGGAGAATGCAGTTGAAGTCCCCGCCAATAAGCCAAGGGTCAGTCATTCTATAAGCCAAACCTCGGAGGTTCGGCCATAGAGAGCGCCGAATTGTAGGATTGGGGCTAGCATAGACGAACGTGACAAAAAACGCTCATGCCATCTTTTTCCACACGAGTATGGACATACTGGCGATGGCAGTGCAAAATGTCGACCCTTGTTCCCTCTTTCCATAATATCCATATGCCACCGGAGAATCCCGATGCCTCAACACGGAAGGAATAATCAAATCCGCTGCGAAGAATAAATTTATCAGCTCTTATGAGACTTATCCTGGACTCCAAAATTGCAAATACATCCGGAAAATAGTGGTTTTTGATATTAGAGAAAGCCCGGAAAAATAACTCCGAGGCCGCTACTTGAACGTTCCAAGATATTAAATTCATGTTAAACTAGAACAAGGGGGAGTGACACTCGTCAGATAGTGCTAGGGACCTGAGAGTCCAGGCTTTCCTCGTCTATCATGGCGTCACCAATAGCAACATGGGTCGCTGCCACGTGACGTGATCGTAGTTCATCCGGTGGTTCCAGTTGCATGGTGTCACCGGGGTCGAGCAGCTCGATGGCCCCCTCTAGTGGGGGCGATCGAGAACTGGGCACATATATAATTCACTTATTGATTTAAGTTCGAAGCTACATATATTTTTTATCAACTTTTTTCACTAGGCACAAACCCACAAAATACCACTATACACCAAACTCCAATCAAATAAAACAGCCACGGCCATGCCCCTCCTCATATTTGGATTTAAATTTATGATGTGTAGTGATCATTTCATCATTTTGCTAATAACTATAGAATATCATTTATTTGAATTGTGAAATCTTTAGAAATTCACATGAAACATCAACATTCGGTACAGAAAGACAACAATCCATTGATATCATTGTTCGTTAGAAAACGGGATCGACGAGTTCAACGTCAAACTAGTGAAAGCACGCAAACTACGGTGCAAAATGAGCATAATGACTTTTCTTTGTAAAAGCTCGTCGAGCACAACTCCTGTAAATATTTGAAGAAAAAATATTATTTGATTTTTATTGAAATAAGTTTTTTTTTAAAAAAAAAAATGTCTAGTTCAATCTACTCTTAATTTCTAAATCTGTCTCTCAGCGCCTCCTTACATGCCCTAATTTTAATTTTGGTAGTTGTAATTTGGAGGTCAATATATTTGTTATTGTATTTAGCCAAATTATGGAAATTATTTGAGAGGTACTACCATAGTGACGACATTATAATCAAAATGAACTCTTTTACAATTTATTACCTTTTCACATACGTCAAGTTTTGTGACTTTTGACTACTTCATTAGCCCAGCATCTATTTATATTTATATATATATGTTTGTTACTTAATATATGTAAATTATATGCTGAAAGCCTGAAAGTATTATTATTGTTTCATAATTTTATCCTTCCACACTTTTGTTATATGAACGTTTAAGGGGGAAAAAGGTTAACTAACATTAATTGGTTGGCCAGTTGATAATATAATAGCAAAAAATTAAAAGGGAAAAAACATGCATATTGCTACTATTATTGTGTTTGCATTGCATGTGATGTGAGACCTATATTATATAGCTATTTGTTCTTATCCTCCGAACGGCAATTACTAAACAAGCCAGCAAGGCTCTGTATTGGATTTTTCCCAATTTTCAAAATTCAGTATAAATTAATGATCATTTTGAATTTTGCACCAATCTGAATGAGATGAGTATTTATTATTATTATTATTATTATTATTATTATTATTATTATTATTATTATTATTATTATTATTATTATTATTATTATTATTATTATTATTATTATAGCATTTGTTATGGCCCATCATTTAATCAATATATCTTAATTTACTTCTGTACATTATTGAGGAAAGAAAGGTACGTGACACCAACGTTATAAATTAAATTCCCTAGCTATTATTTCTTTTTCTTTCTTTCTTTCTTTCTCGAGTTATTATAATATAATATAACATCCTAAACCATACATTGCCGTGGATATAATCCTGCACACTAGTAGTAGTAAATAAATTCTCAAACGGGAAATTTACATACCACTATATATATATATAGACCCTATATATATAGGCGTCCGTCCACTATATATGCGGTCCCGTTGACACGACTGTAGTTTAAAAGAGAAATTAATTATATTATATGCGGTCCCAAGAGCGCTTGAATTAGATGACTTAGTCTTTTCCAGCTTAACCAGTGGTCTCGTGTTTGAGCCCTGAGAATGCAGCAATGTTAAAATTCTTGAGGGATAGCTTTTCCGCCTTGTGGTCCTACCCGGCTCGATTCCGGATTAGTCGATTCCCATGTGGATCCGGAAACTGGAAGGTGCCAGTACCAAAAAAAAAGAGAAATTAATTATATTATATGTACCAATTGTGAGGTTGGTACGGACCACAAATTTGTTGGGTCAATAGTTAGGGTCCACACGCAAATTAAATTACCTTTAATTTGTTACACAATAATTAATTAATTTTTATATATATATATATTACACCACTTTCCTTTTTTTTTATTTCTTCTTATAATAATTAAATCATTCTATATTTTTGGATCCTTTGAATAATTTGTGGTATAGCTCTACACACACTTTTGTACAAAATGAGCAAAAATCACATGCCACCCACTCGACAAATAAAGAAGAGAGTCACATATTTGTCATACAAAAGTATACATAACATTAACCAACAAACATTGCGCGCACCTGATCATGATGATCCTATCCTAAAAAATAGTTTCTTTTTAAATATATATATATATATATATACACTTTATATATTATTATTTAGAGATTTAGCGTTCTTCTATATGTATCATTATTCATTAAACTATATATGATGATGAATATGATGATCATGTGAAGTATATTATGTGGCAGCTCATTAATACTCAACGGCACGCTTTTTTTACTAAATTTCCAATCATTTCATTTTTAAACACGTTTCTTGACCTTTATTTTCAATATTATATATACTATATTTCTTTTTCAATTTGTTACAATTGATCTTGTTGTGTGAACTTGTCTACTTAATTAATTAAGCTGTAAGAAAAGTTTAATTAATATTTATATTAAAATGATTATTATTCCTAGACAGTCATCATATATATACATTTACCTACGTATTTTATTTTAATACATTAATATGAAATATCCAATCGCCAATTATTTGTCTGCATTTAAGTGCTCTCTTCAATTTTGTGGGCAGAGTGTGTGTGGTTGTGAAGAGGAAAAGAGGACAGAGGTTAGCCACACACAATTCGATGCGCGTACACGTGGAGCCAATCCAGTGGTCCGTCCTGAAACCAATCCTGACGGTGATGTCATTTTTTGTAATTAACTCAAGATTTGAGTGCAATTATCTAACTTCAAAAAATGCCGCGGGGTAAACTAACTTCCAACTTTCAGTTAAAATGCAGGAGACAACTTTTGGTTTAAAAAACTTTAAACACAAGAATTTGAAATCATACTACATGAACATGATGATGATAATCCATTAATCGTATCGTATTTTTTAATTAATATTCAAACCTTTAAAAGAAATTATAATATTTATAAAATAATATAAATAGTATATTTCTCATAATAAAAAATAATAATTTTTATTAAAAAAAAATGACGAAACAAATCAACACACACACACACACACACCATCCATGTATATATGTAGTGTGATGTCTAAAACTGTTGGGCCACTTTTTTATTATCACAATTATTATATAAAACATTTACCTAAAAAAGTAGAGTGAAATAGAAGTTTGTTTGAAAGTAAAAACCTTTGTTACCTCATTGTTGTTCATCTTTTCATATTTCCATAGTTACGGAAAGTGAAGTCTCCAAACACATGGCAATGGCACTCTCGGTCAGAAATAATATTACACTATTAATATAATTAAACGTTTTCTCTGTCTTCCCCAAATGCTTGTACAGACTCATAGACACAAGCACAGGCCAGCCTTCAAGTAGAAGATTCAAACACAATCTCTCTCACTAGTGCTCTTCTCTTTCTTAAAAGTCCCTCAATATCTCTTTTCTATCTCTACAATTCCTCATATATTCTTCTGAAAATTGCCCAAGAAAAAAAAAAAAGAAGAAGGAGAAAACTGTAAGAAAATCACACACACACACACCCACACCCTTCAACTGCCGACATGGCAGACATAGCAAAATACGCACCCATTAACGGCGGCTTTTTGTTCTCAGACTTCAAAACCCACTTCTCAATCCTCAGAGCCAAAAGAACTGTAACCGTTGCCTACGCTTTCGTCTTCGTCTTCATAGCCTTCACCATTTTCCTCGCCTTCACCCCTTCTTCAAACTCCTCTTCTCCCTGGTTCACAAACATATTTAACCTCAGCACCTCGAGGAGTAGCGGTATTCCAATTTCTACCCCTTCCGACGAGTCCTACAGATCTCATTTTTCTTCAATTTATAATTATTTTTTCCCAAATTCGTCGTCCAGTGCGCCAACCCCGAGCGCCGCTGGGTCGCAAAACACTACTTTTTCTCGGCCCAGTTCGGATAATAAGCCTAATGTAGTGAAAAACCAGACAAAGGCAGAAGCTTTAACCCATAAAGAGAAGCCAAATAACACCTCGATTTCGGACATGAAACCCTCTTTGAATCAAGCTGTGAAGAACAGCACAAACCCATCAACGGAGTTAAATCAGTCTCAAAATATGAGACAGGGCGAAAAATCTCGTGATAAAGCTGAAGTCTTGAAGTCAAATTCAAGCATTATTGCAAATGGGGAAAAGGGTATTGTGGTCAAGAATGTAACTTCTTCTTCTCCGCAGAGAAAGCATGATAATGGCACGAATTCGGGTGTGCCCAAAAAGGGAATTGATGATCTGATTGAGTCTCTGATGAAGTGTGATCTGTTTGATGGGAATTGGGTGAAGGATGAATCTTATCCACTGTACAAACCTGGTTCTTGTTCTCTGATTGACGAGCAGTTTGATTGTTTCCTTAATGGTAGGCCTGATCATGGCTATTACAAACAGAAATGGAAGCCAAAGGGTTGCACTCTCCCAAGGTATGAACCTGGCTAAGTCTTTTTTAAATTTAAATTTTATTTTTGCTTTTTTTTCCCCCAACTTTTTATAGTAGCTTGCTTCATCATTGATGGGTTTATATGTATCAAGTCGGGAAGTTCGTTTCTTGGAATTGAAATGGCATGTAGGCATTTATCTTAGCGAGACAGTTTTAAAATCAATTGGAATTTTAAATTATTAGGCTGTTTGGATGTCATTTATTATAATTCCGTGACAATGGGCAGGGTTTGAGTTTGTGAATTTTGTTATTCAGTTTAACATTCCAAAGGTTCTCGTTTGGCTATCAATTTCCTAATATTTCTGGACATTACCATTGAAACTGTTAATTTTGTTTGTTGTAAACATGCAAACTTATTTGTTATACATTACAACCGTTTGAATTTTGTTGATCCTGCATATTGTTCAGGTTAGATGGAGCTCATATGCTGGAGTTGCTGAGAGGAAAGAGATTAGTTTTTGTGGGGGATTCTTTAAATAGAAATATGTGGGAATCTCTTGTTTGCATCCTGAGAAACTCTGTAAAAGATAAGAAGAAAGTCTATGAAGAAAATGGTCGGCAACATTTTCGTGGAGAAGCTTCTTATTCCTTTGTCTTTGAAGTAAGTTTCACTGTTAGAATTACACATTTCCACCCTACGCGTATTTCTGTTTCACAAATTGCATCCTGAAAATCTCAAGATGTACCTGTAATTTCGAAAGATAATTGGAGTTTTCGGTAACTTTCCTGAATTAGCCTTCATTTAATCTTCTAAGCTCTGTGTAATCTTTATAGGACTATAAATGCACGGTGGAATTTTTCGCAACTCCGTTTTTGGTTCAAGAGTGGGAAGTGACTGGGAAAGATGGGACAAAAAAGGAAACTTTGAGACTCGATTTAATCAGCCATTCGGCTGATAGATATAAGAATGCAGACTTCATCGTGTTCAATACCGGGCATTGGTGGACTCATGAGAAGACTTCTTTAGGGTAAAAACGCAATTCACTCTAATTTGGGCAGTCCGCGATACTTGATTGCTAAATATTTTCATAATGACAATAAATTATTTGTAATATATTTTGTTTTGTTTTTTTTTTTTTTTTTCAGGAAGGATTATTATCAAGAGGGCAGCCATGTGTACAGAGAGTTGAATGTTCTGGAGGCTTTCCGGAAAGCCACCACAACGTGGGCTCTATGGGTAGATGCCAATGTGAATCCTCATACGTCTCTCGTCTTCTTTAGAGGCTATTCTGCTTCTCATTTCAGGTTATTAATAAAATACCTAGTCTAACTAAGGGAGTGTTTTTATCATCTTTGTTCTTTCATTAGATTCGATCTTATTACGATATGATCTAAATAAATATCAAATAACAGCTTAATTGTATTTTACAGTGGTGGACAATGGAATTCGGGTGGCGCATGTGATCACGAATCGGAGCCCATAAAAAACGAGACATATCTCGCATCATATCCCCCCAAGATGACCGTATTGGAAAAAGTTATAAAAAATATGAAAACCCATGTGACCTATTTAAACGTCACGCGAATGACCGACTACCGAAAAGACGGTCACCCCTCGATTTATCGTAAACAGCATTTGACCGATGTTGAAAGAAGGTCACCTTTGAGTTTTCAGGACTGTAGCCATTGGTGCCTACCTGGCGTGCCCGATGCATGGAATGAAATCCTATACGCGGAGATGTTGGTGAGATTGAACAAGAAGCAACAAGAGAAAAAATCTTAGGTAAATATTATATACGTTTTTTTTTTTTAAATTATTTCCTTGGCTTAGCGTTGGATTGGAGCACGTTCGTGGTGGGGATTGAACATGATCGTGCTGTGTTGATCGAACGAGGTCGTGTGAGAAGAAACTCGAGTAAATATACCATCATGTAAGGAGTCTGAGAAGAAAGGAATGTGTAATTTTTTTTTTTATTTTTTATTTTCACATTCTTTGTTTTTTGAATAAGTTATTTATATGTTTTTATTTTGAGAATATATATAGAGGCAATATAGGAAGTGTTTGCAAACGCTGGGAAAAAAAAGGAACCCAAAAATGATTTGCTGCAGCAGCTCTAAGGTTTCAAACTTGGCTGTTTTGTAATTTATTTATTTATTTTTTTTTTTATGAAAATGAAATGCAGATTATGGGTGCTTTAATGAATTCAGTGTGCAACTGCAAACACTCCAAATTTGCCAACACAAACTACATAAGATGCAAAAATAATATTTATTCATGAGGCAGCAGCCTAATGTAAAGCTGATCAATCTGTCATTATTTTTTTTATTTAATAGACATATATAAACGTCTGTTATGAAATATATATTGTACTTTTGATTATATTTATCGGACATTTTATTTTAAAAGTATATATATATATATATATATTAGTATTATTGTAAAAAGAAATACGATTGTGTATACCGATTCAAGGCAAGCAGCGCAGGCTTACAATTAATTAATTTGGTCATTAATTATTATGCAAGAAACAGATTGTGGTGGATTGGTCTGTTTATTTAGTTGCTTGACCAAATAAGCATTTCATTCGTTTAGAGACTAAAATGAGACGTGCAAACTACTACTACTTAGTAATTAATGAGTGACGTGGCATATTTGGCGTGATCGTTGTTTGTGCTTCATATTCTCCACCTTACTTTAATTATTAATATATTATTAGCATTTGTTTGAACTTTGACGATTTGAAGTCAAATTTACGGTGGACAATAGTACGTACTACATTGATTTGCTGCAACTTTAGTTAGCACGCATTAAATTTAAGACAGGCACAAAACTGTCGGTGCCTGGCATTGGCATCACACAATTACTACGTAGTATTGGAACGAAACGTCGTTTGTCCATTCTTTGGTCAGCAGAATCATATATATATATGGACTTATCAATTATTACTAGAGTATCATTTATTTTTTCATAAAAAGTTTTAATATTAAACCAACATCTGATCTAATTTCAAGTTTAACACGTGATAATTAATGAACGAAATGCTAATTTGATTTGAATTATCGTCTCCAATGCATTCGACCAACATATATGTAATTTATATGCATGGATGATGAATGACTAAATCTAAATTTGTTGAGTCGCAATTAATGTGTAGTATATATAATTTCAGAAATCATTAAACGGACTCTCAAAAGTGTTGAATTAATCTTTTCGATTCACTATAAAATTAATGGCTCATAACAATATATATGTGTTGGACAAAAAATTATTATTTACCTTAATAATTTCTACGTTGATAATATATATGAGTAGGTTTTAATATTTCAAAATCGATGGGTTAACTTCTTCTTCTTCTTCTTCTTCAGTCCAAACTATCCTATTTTTATAGAGGAATTTGCATCCCTTACAACTAGTTATGACTTTTATTACACTTATATGCCTTTTATATTTTTATTTATAAAATTGTCCAACTAAGCTAAAATTATTTCAATAATACCTCAATTTGGGATGTAACAGTTATTCCCTATTTTCTTGGCTTATTAAATGGTAATCCGATTCATAATTGAAATTAAAGATTTCTTTTACCTAAAAATTGAAACTCTTACTGCAAACAACACACCGCCCCAAGCCATCCCCATCCGCCTCCGACTCCTCGCTCAAGCACCGCCGCCCCGCGGACAAGAACATCCGTCGATCATCTCCCGCCGTCATTTGCAGTAGTTTATTCTTGTTTAAGGTATATTCTCAAGTTCGTTTGCTTTGACTGCCTTTGCCTTTCTTTTCTTTTACAATTTAAATGTCGTGTCTGTTACTTCCCAAATTTCAACATCCTTTTAATCTGATTTGTTGAAACAAAGTATTTGAATTGTTTTTTTCTTTTGTTCCTTTTGAAGTTTTATGTTTATTGGTTCCCAAATTTTATGGTTTTTATTATTTTTTCTTTTGTTCCTTTTTAAATTCTTTTGTTCCTCGGGATTTTTTAAGTATTGTAATTATGTGTTGGACCTTTAGTTGATTCTTATTGATTGGTAAATGTTTTATTGATAACCGAAATTTATTTTTTCTAATTTGTTTATGAAAACCATGTGGGATTTGGGAGTGGAGCTCGGGAAAGTGAAGAGGAAAAGGTTCGCCGACGGGGAGATTTAGGGGCTGTGACGTTTACATTTTCTGTTGGAACTTATATATCATATAAAGCCCTAACAAATTGTTCTTTGTACGTTTTCTTTATATGTAGCGTGTATATGCAGTATATGTGTAGTATATGTACATCTTAGGGATGTGTACAGTTATTGAACATTTAGTTTATGTTTGGTATATTGTTTGTACAAATTAGCTTGTGAATGGATAATTTTTTTATGTTTTCAATATTTATTCATAGTTTATGTTTGGTATATTAGAAGATTTTTTGTTGAACACAACACATATATCATTAATAAAAAAAACGAGTTGGGTATATGTTGAAAATGTATATAATTCGAAGGTATATTTATAAACTGAGTTGGGTATATGTCAGGTATATCCGAGTATATCCGAAGTAAATTTTCTCTGGTTATCTGTTTAATAATTCAATTTTTTCTTGGGTTATATGTTGGGTATATCCGAATATATCCGAAGTAACTTTTCTCAGTATATGTTGCACATATACTGAATATGTACTAACATAAACTCAAAATATACTACCTGGCGAATGCGTGAATTATATAATTTTTGCAACATACACTGAATATATACTAACATAAACTCAAAATATACTACCTGACGCTGCTTTGAATTACAATGTACAAGTTGCGTGAATTAAGGAATTAATAAATGAATCAGTTATTATTTTTCTTTTCTCTCTCTTAATCAAGTCCACAAAAGGGGGATGGAAGTTAAATATATATGGTAACTGCTATTGATGCAATCTCATAAATAAATTAGTTTCATTAGGTATAATTGAAAATACTTTCATATGAAGGTAAATTTGAAAATATTTGTATATCTTATAGGAGGACTAAAAATTTCCCATTTTTATATGGTTCTCACCAATGTCCACTTTATTTTCCGCAAGGCCTAGCCAGAAGATTCCCCAAGTAGATATATGTGGGCCCAAACCCAATTATTGAGATGTACAACACCGGCCCAAATTATTAACCGACTGACTGAAAAGCAAATGTTAGAGGAATTTACACT